CCCAGAGAGGGTGTGGAGTCTCCTGCTCTGGAGACTTTCCAACCCGCCTGGACGCGTTCCTGTGGGGCTGCCCTGGGTGACCCTGCTCTGGCAGGGGGTGGCACTGGGGGATCTCTGGAGGGCCCTTCCAACCCCAACATTCTGTGATTCTATGATTCTTGGGTGTTTGTGCTGTAGAACTTAGAGCCGGTTCTGATTGATGGGGAGGCGTCTTGCAGCATGTTACGTGATGTGGTTACATCGTAACTTAATATTATAACTAATTATATGAATAAATATTCAAGTAATGGTGCACACACTAAAGCAAAGTGCAATTAATTACCAGCTGATTAGAAAGAGAAGTTGCTGTGTCTGCATTCCCTCGTAAAATCACGTGAAATGTAGGTCAGAAAATTTTGCACTGGTTTGATGCAGCCAAGCTCCCTGCCCACCACTGCCCCTGTTCCTGGAGAGAGTGGTTGAACTGGCTGTTGAGCATGTTCCTGTCGCAGTGATGTTAACTTCTTTTGATTTGTTTTTTTTCTCTGAAAGAATAAAAAAAGCTTGGTGGCATTCAAGATCATGCCTCTGGAAAATATGAATGAGTTCACTACGCACATACTGGAGACTGTCAATGCACATATGATCCTCAGAAAAAATCTAATGGTACGTACTGGAAGATCCCGACTGGGCACTGGCCCTCACTGGGTGGCTCTCTCCCAAAGAGAGGCACCTCTTGGTTCCTTGGGGCAGTGGCCCCAGTCGTGGGGCTGGAAAGCTCGAAGCTGTTGGAGAGCTACAGTGACAGCGTAACAGGAGTCCCAGCCTCCTTGGAGAGAGATTGTGTTGCCGTCCCTTTCCAGCAGTTTCCTTTGGGAATCTGTTTTTAATTACTCTTTCTCTCAAATAACAGCGAGTCTTTGTGACGCTGTGGGCTCACGGCAGCCTGCGTGACCGCGGCGATTTTACTCTCGTCTTTGCAGTCAGCATCGAGAGCGCCTCAGTCGTTTCACTCCACTGGGCTGGGTGACGTGAGGGGCTACGGAGGAGGCGGCAGCCTGCCCATGAACGGGCTCACAGCGCATCAGAGCCAGGTGGGTGCACGTCGCTTCTCCAGGAACATGCAGTGTAGGAGAAAGAAATGCAGGCTCAGTTACTCTCTGGAGACAGGCAGTTCTTGACTGGCCTCGCTCTCCAGTGCCGATGGGGAAGCTTGGCTGTGTGCTTACAGTGGTTCTTGGTTTTCCAGGTGCTGAACTTGATTAAAAACTGCCACATGCCCGAAGGTGTGAGTCTTCAAGAGCTGAGAAGTCAGCTCCCCAGTATGAGCATGCCAACGATCAAGTAAGTGTGTAGGAAGCAAAGGATGTTCTGGAAATCCAGGCAGTCCTTCCTGGAGCCTGAGAAAAAGGGGCAGAGAGGAAAGCAGTGGGCAGGCCCAGCTCCGTAGCTGTGGAGCAGCACTGGTCACTGTGGGCCTTCCCAGTGGGACGCAGTAGTGAGCTGGACCTGCTGAGGTCCTCACCAGCACAGAGCTGTTGTCAGGTGAAGGGGTGATAAAACGCTTTGCTCCTTGTTTTCAGAACAAGCTCTTTGACAGTTCAGTAGCAAGTACCTGCAGTGCCTCCCTGGGCAGTATGTCCTCCTTGCTCTCTGCACCCCAGTCAAAACTTGGGAATAGACTGTTTCTCTTCTCCTGTGCTGTCTCTTACAACTTCTCCTCCCTAAGACTTAGGAAAACAGTGAAGCCTAAAGGCAGTAATCACCATCCGTTACCTTTCTGTGTTCTGTCCCCTTGGAAGCAGTGGTAAGTGTTGCTTTTACCTGGGAAGTACTGAGCATCCTGGCCTTCCCCTCGGTGGCAGGCGGAGCCTACGAGCTGCTGGGGGAGCACCTTGCAGCTGCTTTGGAGGAGTTTTCGGTACCCGGTGACTGGTGGAGCAGCACTTTTACAGCACAGAGCCAGCGAGAGCTTCCCTTGGCAGAAGCTGGGAAGGAGCTGCAGGGATGGGGTCCTGCTGGTGGGAAATCCCTGAGAGAAAAGTGTTGAAGGAAAATAGTTAGCAACTGCTTTTTCTTTCTTTTTTTTCCCCTCAAAGGCAAGCGGTTGAATTCCTTAGCAGCGAGGGACACATCTACTCCACTGTGGATGATGATCACTATAAGTCGACAGATGCTGAGTGAAGTTACTTCCAGCTGCATTTAGTTCTAAGCAAATGCTTGTCTGTATATCAAGTTATCCTGCCGAGCTTTACGACATGGAAGGTGATCTTTGCTCTTTCTAGCCTCTGAAAGTCCCAGTTACTCTGTGAGTGCCTCCTCCTTGGAATTCAAGGAAAAGCAGAAAGTGCAGGATTCTGTTAACTCGAAGATACGCTGCGACCATGTGACTGAAAGCATAAACAGGCATGTGAAAACCAAAGCCCTCAGAGCTTCAGGGCCTTCAGGTTGTTTTTGTCTACTTAGAGGATGACTGTGTCAGAAAGAAGAACCTCTTTCTAATCTTGTATTGGGCAGATTGTCTTCTGTTTCCTAGAGCTGTTTCTTCTAGCTCAGCTTTCATTTCACTTCATTTCATTCACAAAGTGGGTAGCCAAGAGTAATATTCCACTAATGTACAGTAATCATGACTAGATTTTTAATCAGTTTAGTTTATGCATTTAAATCTAGATTTGTACTATGGAGTGATCTTGTTACTAGAGCTTTTGAATGTTTCCAATAAAATTTTGACTTGGGTAGTCTTGCATGTGTGTGTTTCTCCAGAGGCTTTTCTTTCTCCCTAAAGAGAAAAGCCACTCATGTTGTCAGAACCTCCCAGGTGGGTAAAAACAGCTCATGCTTTCAGAGTTTCTTTAACTATACTTATTTTTTCCTTAGCTTTTGAAGTAGACGGTTACAAAAGGTCAAACAGAAGTGAATGTCTAGACACTAAAAAAATTAAATAATTGTTCCACTGAAGAAAGCTACATGTTGTATCAGTGTGACAAATATAGTCACAGAACGGTTTCATAGAATCATGGAATGACCTAGGCTGGAAGGGTCCTTAGAGATCGTTTTGAAGGGCCCTTAAAGATCATCTTGTCCCAGCCCCTGGCTATGGGCAGGGACACCTCCCACCAGCCCAGGTCGCTCCAAGCCCCGTCCAGCCTGGCCTCGGGCACTGCCAGGAATGAGCATCCCCAGCTTCCCTGGGCAACCTGGGCCAGGGTCTCACCACCCTCACAGAATTTCTTCCTATTGTCCCATCTAAATCTTAACTCTTTCCATTTCAAACCATCACCCCTCATCGTATCCCCACACTCCCTGATAAAGAATGCCCCCCGGCTTTCTTGCAGCCTTGTCAGGCACTGGGAGGTTGCTGGAAGGTCTCCCCAGAACCTTCTCCAGCCTGAGCAGCCCCAGCTCTCAGCCTGTCTTGTAGCTGAGGTGCTCCAGCCCTCCGAGCATCTCTGTGACCTCCTTGACTCACTCCAGCAGGTCCCTGTCCTTCCCCAGAGCTGGACCCAGAACTGCAGGAGGGGTCTCCCCAGAGCGGAGCAGACGGGCAGGATCCCCTCCCTCGCCCTGCTGGCCCCAATTCTCTTGATGCAGCCCAGGACACCGTTGACTTTCTGGGGTCACGAGTCTCCACTCAGACATTGATCCAGCCAATTCCTTATCCACCGACGGTCCATCCATCAAATCATGTCTTCAATTTAGAGACAAGGTTTTTGTGTGGGACAGTGAAAAATGCTTCTCACAATCTCAAGTAGGTGACATCAGTGACTCTTCTGATGCCATAGCCCCGCCAGAGAAGCCCACCAGCTTTGTCAGGCAGGGTTTGCCCTTGGTGAAGCCACGCTGGCTGTTGCCAATCCCCTCCTTATTTCCCGTGTGCCCCAGCCCAGTTCGCAGGAGGATCCACTTCCCAGTCTTGCTGGGCACAGAGGTGAGAGTGACTGGCCGGTAGTTCCCCAGGTCTCCCTTTCTTCCCTTTCTAAAAATGATGGTTGTTTCCCCTTTTTGCAGTCGGACAGAACCTCACCAGACTGCCACAACTTCCCAGACAGGATGATGATGGGTACAGCTTAGCAACCTCATCTGCCAGCTCCGTTCAGGCCCATGGATGTACCTCATCCGGTCCCACAGACTTGTGCACCTTCAGGTTCCTGAGATGGGCTCAGACTCGATCTTCATTCTCCCAGCTCCGGCCTTTGCCTTCTGCAACTTGGGTGGTGTGGACAGAGCACTTGCCGGTGAAGACTGAGGCAAAAAGAAATTCAAACACATAGCCAGGATCCTTTCTGCCACCAAAAGTACTTTAGCCGAAGCTCAGCTGAATTACACCCCGTGGCACAAGTTTTTCTTCTTTAAACTGTTTTAAAAGCGTAACAGAGAAAACCACTAAGCTAGGAAACAGCAGGGTTGGTATCGGTGATGTATCCGGGTAGAGATCAGAGATTTGTGTTTCTTTGTCTGCACAACCCTGCCTGGCTCAGGGCGGCAGCTGCTGCTGCGCGTTTCTGTCCTCTCCACCACGATATGTTTCCTGTTATATAAAATGCAAAGCTGAAAACTACCTTCTGGGAGTTGTTCTGCCTTTGTTAATGGGAGTACCTCAGGAGTCTGTAAACACACAGGAGCATTTTTCACCACAACCCCATTAGGGCGCCTGACTGTTGTCACCAGAGGAACCATGGCCTTTGTGGTGGACGTGTTGCTGAAAAGCTTTCTGCTGAAAAGCAGATCTTCCACACTGAGTGCCGAGACACCGAAATGCTCTGGCTGCTCGCCGGATGGGAGCCTGTTTTGCTGCACATGCCTGTCCTTCGATCACTGCCTGCGGACACGAGACCTGCTGGAGTGTCAGGACCTGCGGCCGGGGGTGACGGCAGCGGCTCACGGGCTGCTCTGCTCCGGGTGCTAGGGCAGCTGCAAGTCGTGGGGTTGCTCTCACCCAGGGCTGGTGAAGTGACCCAGCTTTGGAAAAAGCAGTTCTTGCCCTGCTCCTGGTTCCTCTGGGGCAGGATCCCAGCCCAGCCATGCTGTGCAGCCGTTTGGACTCAGCCGGGAGCTTGAGCTGGGAGCAGCAAAAGCCTGGGCAGCCGTTACCGAGCTGGCAAACCCTGGTATCACACCCCATAAACATCACGCTCATGAGAAAGGGGGGGTTTGCTGAGGATGGAGGCTGTTCCTGCTCCTGCTCCTCTTCCTTATCCTTCTCCTCCTGCTTCTCCCTCTCCCTAGAAGGTGTCACTAAGCACTCTGCTCCTCAGGACTACCTTCTGCTTTCTTGTGACTGCCCTACCTTCACTGGCCTAAGTACGACTTTGTGAACTTTACACTGGCATTAGTACAAATACTAGTTTTGCTGTTTGGTTAAACCTTTCCTCACTTCAAGCCATGGGTCTCCTCTCCTTTTCCTAATCCCCCTTCCTGGCCAATAGAACAGCCAAGCACCAGCTTAGCCCTGGAGACAGGGGTCGGTATGGAAGGTGGAGAGAGACCTTTGCCTGTAGGGACAGGACAAGGGGCAACAGCTTCAAACTGAAAGTGGGTGGGTTTAGAAAGAACATGAGGAAGGTATTTTTTGCAAGGGCGGTGGTGAGACCCCGGCACAGGTTGCCCAGAGAAGCTGTGGCAGCCCCTCCCTGGAAATGTTCAAGGCCAGGCTGGACGGAGCTTGGAGCGACCTGGTGGGAGGAATTGGACCAGATGATCTTTTCAAGCTCTTTTCCAACCCAAACCATCCTGTGATTCACTGATGCTACGACTGAGGTGCTATTACTGAATGGCTAACGCTGACTTCTCCCTGCTTGGGAGTCCTCCAGTGAAAGGACCACAACAGCAACAGTCAGTGTCTCTCCCTCAGCGTTGGCTTGAGAAGAGAGTGCTGATACCGAGTGTAAAGCCCAGGACAGAACCAAAGCCAGAGAAGGAAACCAGCCCAAACCCGATCTAGGACTCAAGCCAAGTTCAAATGAATGAGATTCTTGCTGCAGCTTTAAGACTCTGCCCTAGGTGCTGAGTGAGGAGTGACATGAACCAAAACCAAGCTACTCTTCACTGCAAGAGGGAAAAAACCCCACAGTTTGATCTTAAATTTAAAATTTTATTTTCCAGCTTTGATTTGAAAGGAGTGCAGTGCGTAATGCAGGAGCGTAACACCTGCTTGCTTTGGTGTGAAGCTCTCCCCTCATCAGCTCTTCTCCTGTAACGCCCATCGGGACTGTGAGGTCCTGTCTGTGCCACTTGACAGAGGCTTTGCCAAATTTCCAGGAAAAGAAGAGTTGAACTTTGGTCTTCATTTGGTTTGCAGGTCAATTTTTGCATCCAGTGCTATGAGAGCAGTGGGGCCAAGAATCTGCAAGAGAATGACAACCACACTTGCGAGCAGGAGGGGACCGTGGAGGTCCAGGGCAGACATTGCTCCCAGCTGCAAGTGCAATCAAAAATAGATGAGAGAAAGAGCAAAACCTGAAGCCACAATGTTTTTACACATCTTGGTGAGAAATCAGGCCAGAGTGAGAAGCGGATTTGGCTGTACTTGAGAAAAACACAGCTTGTGCCCTGTGACCGTGAGTTTCTGACGCGGCGATTGTAGACGTACATCACTTGGCGGTTTGAGCCCCGGCTGGGGCACAGCTTGTACAGTGCAAAGCACCTTGCTGGTCTCCTAACCCCACCCCACGCGCCAGACAGTGTCTGGACATGCTGCCTCCAAAGTATCTTCAGCTGGTAGCATCCATAATCCCGGCCCAGACAGTAGCAGCACAGTGGAGCACAGCGAAATCCACGTCCCATGGCTGGTGCTCTTGGCGGTTTGAGCCCCGGCTGGGGCACAGCTTGTACAGTGCAAAGCACCTTGCTGGTCTCCTAACCCCACCCCACGCGCCAGACAGTGTCTGGACATGCTGCCTCCAAAGTATCTTCAGCTGGTAGCATCCATAATCCCGGCCCAGACAGTAGCAGCACAGTGGAGCACAGCGAAATCCACGTCCCATGGCTGGTGCTGGCACCTCGGTGGCATCTTGGTGGCTGCCCAGCTGTGTGCTGATGTGGTGCTGCTGAGGACACAGCCTGCAGCACGATGGGGGGCTGCTTGCCTTGGAGGAAAGTGGGCACCTTTCTGCAGGCTCGAGGCAGCCGGAGGTTGCCCTGTGGAACCCTGGGCCTGTATTTAGCCCCTGCAAGTAACCGGTGTC